AAAAAATATTTGGCAGCAACAACATAAACGACAAGATATTAATCTCTAAAATTGACAGAAAACTTCAAACTTTGTCAACAAAAAGACAAACCATCCAATTGAAAAATGGGCAGAAGACAAGAACAAACACTTCAAAGAAAACATTCAAGCAACCAACAAATACATGAAGAAATGTTCATAATTATCAGCCATCAGAGAGATACAAATGTAAACAATGAATTATTATCTCACTCCAGCAATGATAGCAAAGTTCACTAAGAAAACAAATACTGGTTAGAGTGTAGAGATAATTGGAACTCTTGTACACTGTTGCTGGGACTATAAAATAGTGCAATCAACATGGAAAACAGGATGCACTTCCTTTAAAAACGACCTTAATAGTGACCCAACATTCAGTTTCTGAGGCGGTATCTCTACAGAAGTAGATAGTCAAGTCTTCCTTCGCAGGAGTGGCTGGTGGTTATGAACCACCAGCCTTGTGGTTAGCAGTCAAATGCCTTAGACACTACACCACCAGAGCGCCCCCTTTAAAAGCAAGAAATAGAAATACAATTTGATCCAGCAATCCCACTACTCAGTACAAATCCTAAAGATGTAATAGCCGAGACACAGACAGACATATATGCATATCTATGTTCATTGCAGCATTATTCACAATACCAAAGGGAAAAAATCTAAGTGCCCATCAAAGGATGAATGGATAAACTATGGTTTTTCTAAAATACCTCATAATATGGATGAACCTGAAGGACATTATACTAAGTGAAATAAGTTAATCACAAAAGGACAAACATTCTGAGTCTACTAAAACAAAAAGTCAGAGAAATGTTTACATATAGAAAGGAACATTCTTGAGTGAAGAGAAGGGCAATGTACCAAATGTGAGAGACCAATATGGCGGCATTGAGGATGAGAAAGACATAAGAGAGGTATATGGGAGGTACAGACAACAAAGATGAACCCTTTTGCACATACAGTACTGCATTGTCAGTGAAGCCAAACGTGGGTATATGGGTGGATAGATGGGTGAACAGGCTGAACTATTAGTATGTCTATGAAATGGGGAGTGTATCCAAGAACATGTATTCGGTTGGCAGACAATGGTCCTATATGTTTATGTGAATGATCAGAATTCCCAGGTGTATAGTAGAGCTGACAAGGGGCAAGGCTGTGGTCACTGTTTGGTCACAGCCAGCTACCCAGAGGGACCAAGCAGTTGAACCTGTGGGCTCGGGACCATAGTCGCAGGGGACATCAAGCTCAATTGGCATAACATACTACACAAAGCATT